TCATTAAAAAAAAAAAAAAAATTGTAGTTTTCATATGAAGTTGATACAGTCATTTTTTCTGTCTTTATGCCAAATTCTTGTAAACACACATGCAAAAAGTAGATTTTTGTCTTAAAAAATACAATTTTATGATTACTTGGAAAAAATAAATATTTTTCAAAATGTACAAATAAATAATGTTCAGTTTCTTGGAAGTTGTGGTTTTGATATCATTCTCTTTTTGGGAAGGAAAGGTGGGCTGACTTTTTACAAAATACATAGTACAGGCTGGATCATTGTCTCTTTCACCTGAAATTAGTGTCTGGAGCCTTTATGCAGTTGGGCATGCAAGCATTCGGAGCAGTCTTTGTGGTTTCACTCCATTTTGCTGACAAGTAATCACTGTTTGGACAATGCAGTCCCACTGATTTTGAAGTGGTTACTTGTATGAAAAGAGGGTAGGAAACAGAATAAGATTCCTGTCTATTTCAGTCTTTTAGATCAACCTCTATCACCTCTACCTCCTATTCAGGAAAGTACTGCTTAGTTCAAAAATTGCTTAGTTCATGGTTAAAAATATTAAAGCTAGATATTCAACCAGACATTTCCATCCATTTTAATTTAAGGTGGAGAGTTAAATCCTCCACATTTTAAAAACATCAGTCCATATATGTCTGCCATTTCTTAAATGGATGTAAGATGTACACAGCAGTGATGACGGATTCAGGTTATTAAAAGGAGATGTTTTACTTTAATGCAGCTAAGTATTACCATAAATACCATTTGGTCCTTATTCCCTCTTGACTTGGGACATTCTGCTACTTATGATCTGTCCTGGATTATGTTTTTTTCTTTCCAAATGCAAACTGAGTTTGAAATAAAATCAAACAGTACTGAAATAACTCTACTGGGACATGGCTTTTAAGCTAACAACTCTAGATGAAGTGAGCTGTCTAACAGAAAACACATGTTGACAACATTGTTTGCTCAATGTGTGTCTTTGCTGGGAGCATACAAGTTCTACATGTACCTTCCAGTATTTACAGAAAATATTATTTCAATAATCTAAATAATAATAATAATAATAATAATAATAATAATAATAATAATAATAATAATAATACCACAACCAAACCCCTGCTGTTTGGCTCTGTTTGTTTCTTCTCTTTGTTGCTTATTTACAATAATCCAGAGCTAACTCATAACACAGAAGTTCAAGAAAAGACAGAAGGAAAAGGTGAAAATGGTATAACTGTATGGTAGAAAAGTGTCTGTGAATATAAGCCAGTTAGTCAGGAATTGAAGAGAATAGTGGATTTTAACTTCTGTCTTTATATTAAGCAAGCTGGGTCTACCTTCATTGCCAAAATTCTAAGAAATCTTGTCCCAAAATGTCATGCTTTTCAATAAAGTGTTTGTAATTTTATTTAATATTTTTATCTTGCTGTAAATGTAAAGCAAATGTACAGTTTCCATGGAAACTAGACTTGTCCCAAATTATATAAATAATTTGTAGCTGCTTTGTAGGAAAAAATAGCTCTGATTTAAATTTCCTATTTTCCAATGGCCACTGAGAATTGATACTTAACTTTCTGACAGCACAGCTCAGAAACTACACTTACATGCCTTACTGTGTAGGTTCAATCTATCTTTTTGCTCTAAAGAAAGGAAAGACATTTGTTGAGATAAGTTGATACAAAATTATTTTACTGTTTACAAATATTAATTTAAATAGAAGTATTGATGACACCATTATGTAAAGCAGAATATAAAATTTAATACATGTGCATCAGGAAAACAAAATAAAATCTTAAACATCTTCATTTTAATTGTAATCAGTGCCAGATTTCAGTGTTGAACAATTAATGATCATTACACCATTTAAAAATATCAGTGGGAGAGTGTCAAAGAGGATAAGTCTTCCATGTTTACAAAAGATTTTGCCTGTGGCATACTGTGTGCTTTTGTGAATCATTTATCTCCTAGCTTAAACCTGTCATGGTATGAAATATTGCAATTGTGATTCTGCATGACAGAATAATGAAAGATTTTAAAAAAGCTCACACTGCAATGACTTTTCCATAGAATTCTGGGCTTGAGAACCTGAAAAGCTGCACATGAAATAGCTTTTCTTTTCACTTCATCAAAAACTAATCCAGGCCAATGAGTTCATTCTCTTCCATTGTTTGTTTGTGGTTTTTGTCCATATCAACCTGGCTTTAGCTTTTTTCTTTTTTTTTTTTTTTAAACTGTGTTCTATTATAAGATCTCATATACTGAATTGGATGCCAAAATAGTTCCTAAAGAGGTTCCATTTAGCAAATATTTGAACGCTATATTTCACATTGAATGTTTCAGCCATAGGGAAGATTATGGAAGAAGAGTTTTGTGTTTTCTTTAGGAAAATTACTTTAAGCTATCTTATGTCAGCAGATCTGCTGGAGTACCCCTTCATTCTCCAAAAAGCTTGTTTTGAATCTTCATTGTTGTGAATAATCTCTGAAATATCTGCATCTCATGATGCACATTAACAAGTGAATTAAAGACAAAATCTGGTGTCTTTATCCACAAAGGCCAGCATTTTTTGGGGACCATCTTCTCAGTGAGTGATCCCCACACAATCCACATCAAGCACTGCAAGCAAAGACTCTTTTCTTAATGCAATGTCTTCTATCAGGACCCAAAACAATAGATTTGCAGATAATAATTTCCTAAAACTGATCTTAAAGAGCTCAGCATTAAAAATTTATGAATACCCTTCTCTGCAGTTGTACCTGAATATACTGTCCTGAGATAGAGATGAAAGCTATTAGATAAAACACGTTCATTACACAAATCTTTAAAACTTCAGACTGAGACAAATAACTGTCTTTAGTGTAGAAATCTTAGGTTAAAAGTTACTTTGGCTTTCTTAATGGTTGTTACTGGAATAATTTTAGTAATGATAGATTAGAGAGAGAGTATGGGTCAGAAAAAAACTCTTATTAATATCTTACAGAAAAAATAGATCACTGCATAATTCAAACAAAGATTCGTATTTTACAATTTGAGTTTTTGGGCACAAGGAATTCTGGTCCTGTTACTGTATGATTGTCATTGAAAAAACATAGCTAAAACGGAAATACTTGGTTTGGCCTATTCAGTGTGTCATATCATCCTCAGTCTTAAATGGCTAACTGTCAGGTACGCTTTTCACCTTTCTCTTTCAACATAAAAATATTAATGTTTTCTGTATTCACAGAAGTGGATTAAATACGTCCATGATATATTCTACAGGTACCTGGTGTCATTGTCAAAATATGCTGTTTAAACACAAAAATAAAAAGAGTAAAGGTCTATCCTAAAGCAGGACAGTCAAAGAGCTTGGGAGAAATGAGAGATACTCTGTCATAATCATGTCCCAAATATATCATAGAATCCTTGTATGGCAGGATTAATCATATTAATCATATCTAAACCATCATTTTTCTTCTTTGTACCATCTTTCTTTTTTTTTTTTTTTTTTTTTTTTAATAAGCACTGTGAGAGGGTCAAACATAACTCCGTAATACTTTTCTTAACATGCTTAGTGTAGAGTATTTGTTAAATTATTCCAAGTAACTATGCAGAACAGTGGGAATTTTCCCCATTTCCATGCCTTGTTTTGGGAATTCTGTCTTTATTTCCAGAAATCACAAAATTACATTTCCATCCAGAATGCCAAAGATATGAACTTCAGAGAATTAACATTTTAAATATTTTATTGTACTAATTTTAACTCTTTACATATTGACATCTCTATCATAAACTGAGAAGTATCAAATTGCCATGATGGAAATGGAAGGATATAATCTTTCTATTTTATTTAAAATAAATTAGCTAAATCAAAAGCATATGCTTGCAATAGCTAGAAAAAAAATCAAGAATTGCACAAGTGTTTAATATTTTACAACTGTTCTAGAGTAATAAGGAGAGATTCCAATGGCTTAGGAGACAATACTTTTAAAAATGTGTTTAATTTGTAGTAGCCTATACGCCTCTCTGCTATAAATAAGAAAAAAATAATTGGATATTAAGGGATTTCACTCATTCTGAGTATGACAGATAGATCCACAGAAGTTGAAGCATTGTCTTCAATTTGGATAAAATATTTGCAGAATCAAGAAGGAAGATTAATAAATACTTATCCCCATTCCCAGGCAACTGTTATTTGACAAACTGAAATGTGAGCAGGTCAGATAAAGTCCTACTTATCCAAGCATAAATCTGAAGCACCGACATTTAAAGAATAAATTGTATTTAGTATGTGGCATACTGCTTACCACAGAGTGCAAGTGAACAACAAACCATCAGCTGTTATCATAGGCATTGTTTATTAATACAGTAAGATCTAATAATTAATAAATTAAGAGAGATAAAACAGTGCTGTAAAGTCCTGTCTTTGTGTGGGACAGAGGATATCTTTAAAAGATTCATCTAGTCATCAGAAAAAAAATGTTAAGACGGGAGTGAAGTTTTAATGGAGGATCTGAGAATCTACAAAAAAACGAGACAGATGCATGCTGCTCTAATTTAATTCCTCAGGAAAAACTATGGCATTGCCTTATTATGCATAGAAGTGAAGGACTACTAGAGCAATATTACCATACATTTAAGACAAACATTGCTTCCTCTGCTTAGGTGGCCTTACTGAAGCTATGCTACAATTTCTAGAGCCTTGGCACATAATCTTGGGTGAAAAGAAATGTTAACTGGTATCACTAATATATTTGTCTAGCATCACACCAATATTCTAAGTTACATGCAAGTTGTCAGAGTGAGACAAAAATAAATGAACAACAGTAATTTCAAAAGATAGTAGGAAATATAAGTATTTAGAGAAAATAATAGACTATAAAACTGATAGAAAGTATAAACAGAAATATTAGTTTAAAATAGCTTTTTCACATTATGTTTAATATAAAAGCAATCATGCAAATCATCCGGAATTATTGAAAGTATCCAAGCAACAAAAAGATATGACTGAGACCAGATCTACTTACCAAATTCCTTAGGAACTGTGATAGAGTAAACACAGTTGTGACCAACACTATAATTCTTAGGATAGTTTGGTGATAATACAGTGCCTTCAGAGCCTGTTGACCGGCTTCCACAGGGTGCTAGAAAGTAAAGATAATCGGTTTTGAATAATGTAATATTAGAAAGAAATCAGTTTAAAGTTATTTGTTATATGTTTGTATAAGCTATTACAGTAAATTTTACTACACTTGTACATTGGATTAAATTTGCATATGCTGTGAAGCACTGAGTATGTGCAACTTTCTCATATATCAAAAGAGAATTGATGGCACTCTGTAGTTTTCCAGATCAGTTATTGTTTTTCTTTACCATTTATCAACCACCTAAATAAAATAATTATGTGCGTTATATGCAGTATGCTATTATTCACAGCATTCAAAACTATTATTTATTTGTATGATTCTTTATACTCTGATAAAAGCATAGATTATGCAGCTCTTATGCACACCAGTAAATTCTTAGTCATGCCAATAGACTCATAATTCAAAATAATGTGTAGATATACTGAAATAAGAAAGTCAGGATTACTTGACTGAACATGATATAGCACTTAATTAAATCTTGATTATTTACAACATTATATATATAAAGTTATGAGCAAACACTTTTCCTTATCACACAAACATCATGTTTATTCTATTATTAACAGCTATAACACTTGATAAAATGGTAGATAAATAACAATGCCATGTACTACAACAATGTATTTTTCTGAAGTTAACAACGGAATTTAGCATTTGGCATTATTCAAAATTGTCAAGCAAGAAACAGTGCTTTTCTTTCTTTTTCTTATTTTTCTTCACCAAATGTTCAGATGCATTAGTATTAAACGGTCCTAAAAGTTAGTGATTTCCTAGTGATTTATCTGATTCTCATACACACTTTGTAATTTAATAGTTTAATCTATTGTCAAGATTATGGCATCAATTTAGAATTTCTTCTAATAACTTTGGACTATAAAACATTTTTTAAATGAGTTTAATGTTAATGTATCTATTTAACAAATCTGTTTCTTCTGTTAAGACATAAGTGACTTCCTAAAATGAATACTACTTGTTGCTTTGTTAAGCACAAAAAAATCCAGTTTTTGTTGAATATCTTCGGACTTATATTAAACAAGAAGATGGTTTTCTTATGATTATTTAATAAGATTTTATCTCATTACTGATCATACTAAATACAAGTTATTTATTAGTGTAGCTACAAATCATATGTTTCAAGACTACTTTTAGTTAATTCACAAAAAATGTATAGTAGAGCATATCATGAAAAGAACACATCATACAATGCTAGCAACTTAAGGCCCTGTCGCTTTGACACGGATTTCTGTAATTTGCATTAGCATTGGTTCCTTTCAGTATGATGTAGCTGCAGAGTTTGAAAGACTGTAACTGAAATGGGAGCAGACTACCTATTGCTCCAGTCTGCATAAGCAATTTGTAAATTATTTAATGGGCTAGCATTAAAGTTACGGTATTTTAAATAGGTCAACAGAAGGATTTTGACTTTCGCTTGTGCATGTGTGTGTGCATGTGGTAGATGTGGCACTCATATTAGAGATCAGAAAATCAGTCAGGACTCAGAACAGGACATAGTCTCGGAGATGCTCAGTACAGCTTTACTGGTAGGCACCACTCTGAGATAAGGAGTAAACACTAAGAGTGCCATAGGTACACAGAATATGCGTTCTCTATGGCTGAAAGAATACTCTCAGTATCTTCTGTCAACCCACCATCACATGAAATATCAGAAGTTCATGCTTTCTTGTGAAAACATATTTAGATAATAGAATTATTATTGGTACTTTTTGCCAAGAAGCAATAGAGTCTTGGCTGAGGCTTCCATCCGGGGACTTATTTGATTTCAGTTATTTGAAAACATAAACTAGAAACCCTTCACTAGTTGAATGTGGTAAATATTATTGATGAAAACAAATCTGCTTACCAGCTTGTAAGTACTCAAGATTTTCTATTGGATTAAACAGAAGAGAGTATGGAAAAATATAAGCAACAAAAGCACTAAAACTAGAGAATAAGATTGCCAAAAAGCTTCTCCCTAACCTTATTTCCTTCTTTACTGTTTGAGTTGAACAAATGAACTACTGCAACAAATAGCAATAATACTCTCCCGCTCCAGCACTCATATCATTACTGTACTCCTCTATACAGCAGACACACAATATGTGCAAATTCAGGGTAAAATTATTATTCCATTGAAGCCAATGCCATTAACACCCAAAGGTACAGAATTTCACTCTTAATTTTTAATAAAATTTGAAGTAATAACACACAATAGCAATACTTTAAGTCAATAGCTAAATATTAAGAACGTAGCATATAGTGGACTATTACTTACAAAGTCCAGATTTTTTATACCCCTATTAATTTTTATTTCTACAAGTTAAAGTTAAGCAAGGCATTTGTAATTTTACAAAACTAGTAGTATGTTTAAAATAGAATAAAATAAATAAAATTCCCAACAGTTTCTTTCAAATATAGATATTTCCATAAATTAATGTAACATGCATATTTTTTCAAACAAATAAAAATGAAAGTTACTGCAAATTTTACAAGTTTTTATTCACTTAGTGCAATGACTTACACTGCAAATTATTGATATTAATACTTGTGGATTATCTAAAATCAATAGTGACTTTTGAGTTATATCTTTACTAAATATGTAACACTGTTGTTGTGTTGATGCTGTAACACTGTAAAATATCAATAACATACTGTAATATTGAAGTGATGTTACTAGGACATTAAAGCTAGGAAAACAGAGAAAGCAGTTATTTTAGAGTCATACACAAGAATTTAAGAAAGCTAGTACACCTTCAATGTGGTCTTGACTCTCTGAGGTAGAATTATTATTCAACTGTGTATATGTCTAGTCAAAATATTTCACAATATTTGAAAGGTATTATTATCATGGCTGGTATAAAAATAATCACACAAAATAATTTCACTGACAAATGCACATAAATTTCTAAAAGCTATTAAACCCAGCAATTTTTTTCAAAGTAAAAAAAAAAAATACAAAACATAACTTAGCACCCTCAAAAATCTGAGAGTTTTTATGAATAGTAAAGTCTGATTAAAACAACTTCAATGTCTCTAAAAGGCAAAGATAATGTCATTTTATTTTTATAATTTATATTAATAAAAATATTTATATGACACATTGTGTGAAACATCTAAAAATTTTTCCTGCACATTGAATCCCATGAAAGCCACATATATCTGCACTGATTATATAGTGTGCACATATCCAGTCACATAAGAGGACAAGAGACACAGTACAAGGCTGGAAGCAGGACTTCCAGCAGGGCCCCTTTGGGTGAAAAGCCTCTCAACAGAGGTGCTTGCAGCCTATGTTACAACGTCCTCGATACAGACTGGACTTTGAGATTAACTATTTGTCACTCTGACATATGTAAAGATTAAATTGCAGCAACAACAAAATACTTGCATTGAATATTTCATAGTAATTTCTTTCACTTGATGTTCTCATTCTGCACTTTTTCACTCTGCCCTTTCTGAGTTTACCTTTCCTCTTATGGTCTCTCCTATTGTTTTCCAACTCCTACTATAATGACTCTATACTCACAAGAATTCACATTCCTGGGTCTCAAAAACAAGCAGTATAAAGGAAAGTTGAATCAAGATGTAAGCACACTGTTGACCTTTGAAATCTGAGAAAATGTTTAACATCATAAATTATTAGGTGGTAAATCATTTAGTTCTTCATTTTCTCCCCAATTCCCTGGATGGCGGGGAGGGGGGCGGGGCGGGATGCTGCAAGTGGCTGTGTCTTGTTTGGCTGCCAGCTAAATTATGCTATCACAGGCAGTAAGATTGTCCTCCAAGACCTTTACGATGTACCAGAAAGGAGGAAGAGGTTTATTTGATATTTTAGGAAACCCATAAAATTCAGTGACTATATTTCCTTCCTTATCTTTTGGGAAATGTTTTCTTTAAAATGTCAGAAGTTTCGGGAAGAGACTATCACTAAACATTCCTATTCAGAAATCAAAGACAGATCCAGGGACATTAAACCGCAGATACAGTGAATTAAAAACTTTAATTTGGTACAAAAATAAAACATACTTTGCCTCTGGAAAATATCTAGCATTGAGTTGTTTGGTTGGATATAATATTCTACTACCACAATGCTACCCATTGACTTTCACTTATGCTTATTTCAGTTATGTAGGTCTCATTGTCTTTGCGTTAGTTTCACTGTGCATTGATTTATTTAATTTCCTAAAAACTACAAAGTTAAAAAATGAAAGGCTGTGAAAATCAACATGTCTAATTATTGTGATGTGCATTGAAAGGGTTTTTTTATCTACAGTAAAACTTTTAACAGACCTATTACATCTGCAAATGTATACTGTATCATTTAACACACACACACACACAAAAAAAAAAGGAACAAATGCTGAGCACAATTTCCCTAGGAATGAAAAACATCCTGCAGAATGAAACAAACCAACAGAACAACCAACCAAAGAAAAGTTCAAAAGGCAAATGGTATTGTCTAATGCAATTCTCCAATAGTATTCCAGGATTTTTTAATAATGTTTGCTTACACTCTGAAGTACTATATCACTTTCTGTTTTTATTTCTGTGACATATAAATCACTACTCAGTATGCTCTCCTTGTCCTGCTTTTCTGGATCAGCAATGGAAGACTAATAGGAGAGAAAGGTACTTGATTGTGGTAAGAATGTGATAAGAATCAGTGCGTTGATGCATTGCTTACTGTTTCCTTGAAACATTACTAAGCATTAATGGCAAAAATTTCCTTTTCTTTGTGTGTTGAATGTAGTGGTATCTGTAGTGATGTACTGTAGTGGTATCTTGTCTTGTAAAATAGCACTCCCTGCAGACCTTGAAAAAGCCCTATCATAACAACAATGAAGTATCACCCACTTTGTATCTTAAATTGGTAAGGTTTTTTATCGGAAAGATTACCCATCTTGATTGTTAGTATTCATGCACCTCTGACAAAGAACTACATTCTACCTCTTATGGCAATGCCTTGGTAATTAAGAATACAATATCAAATGCATTACCAT